CCCCAAAACCCCAAAACCCCAAAACCCCAAAACCCCAAAATTTTATTATTTTTCGTTAAAGATATTATACAAAATGAACTTGAAAGTTTTAGCACCAGCTGTAAGAGGATTCAGAAGGAAATCAATTACTCGGGGAGAGATCCAGACCAGCTTTAAGACTAATAAATTTTACTTCAAAGGAAATGAGGATAAATAAAAAACACGAAATGATGGTTCGCATGGCTGACTCTTTTGCTGGTCAAACAACTCCTCTCTATCACTGAAAGTACTCTTAATTTACCCTTTAGATTGGATTATAAATAAGAACAAAAACTCCCTGTTCATGAGTCCATACTTGAGAATTGAGAAAAAGAAGCATTCAAAAGAGTTTAATAGAATTCAGAGAAAGATGACTGAGATTACAAGAAAGAATTCTCGAAGGAACTCTACCCTCTCAAAGACCACATTTTGTGATGATAGCTTGAAGAATATTAGCGATGTTCGAGGGAAAAGCAAACGGCTTGGTAAATTAATATATTCACAATCTTAGTGAAACTTCAGAAAAATCTTCGAGATACAAAATTAAAGCGTGAATTTTTCAACAGTAGCTTTATAAGTGAGTCTAATTATGTGAGAGTATAGGCTTAGAGACTGAGAAACCTCTGATTGACAATGAGAAGGTAATAATATCCCCAAATATCATAGATTGTTATTAAAAGGAATTCAAGCCTAGGTATCAGAGCTTGTAAGTCTAGAGAAATAAAAGCACAAGAGGTAAATATTGTTCGTAACATCCAGAAATCAAAATTTTTATATCCCATGGAGAACAAGGTACAAACTGATAATATCTTTAGGAAAAATTTTTAATCTTTGATGTTACACCAATAGTCAATAAATAAATATATAAGACAAAGTAATTTTTCACTCAACTTTAGAACTTTCAAAAGAAAAATCCGAAAAATCTTGAAAACTTCCCAGAAATCCCAAAAATCCAACTAGGCTCAAAATTGACTCTAAAAGGCTTAAAAAGTCTATTTTCCGTCCTCAGCGCTGTCCAGATATTCAAACCTCCTTCTTCACCCTCCCCAAAAATTACATTCCTCGCCCAAGGCCCTTCAAATCTCAGTCACGACCAAACCCCCCTTCTTCAACACAACTCTCCTCTCAGACCTCCTTCAGTATAGCTTATCAACTCCAAAACTTTGATGAGTCTCATTTCAGCAGATCAACAATCATCCCAAATTTAACTTCTAAAGATCCAATTTACCCGTTCCAAAAAGGGGTTTTGGGGTTTTGGGGTTTTGGGGTTTTGGGGTTTTGGGG